ACTAGTGGGTAACTAGTGGTTGGCGGGTAACTGTAACTTGCGCCGTATGAACTCCCAAGTGTAAACTAAACATTCAGTAATAAAGATGACCGAAAACGACCAGAGACTCAGTCAAGTAAGCACAAGTGGATCAAGGTTAAGCATAGTAAGAGAACAATTGTTGTGAATTGAACTGTGTCCTGTATGGACTGGACATTTGAGAACTTGAGTTAATCTACTAACTGTTCGTATAGGGCGGCTTATGTAGTCCGCCAATCACAGCGGAACCTACGGCCAACGCCTCCCTCTCCCTCCGTTTTCTCTCTTTCTCTCTTTCTTTCGCTCTCTACCAATCCGCAACAGTAGGGTACAAACACTGCCAGTCGTACCAGTGCGGTTTACCGCTATGAACTGTCCACTAACTTCTAAGCGGACCTTATACTGCCTAGGGAGAGATAACTCACGCTATGAACTAGGGATTCATCACAGGGAGGTCAATAAGGCCAAACCTGCCAATTATTGCATACAGCATTGAAGGCAAAGGTTGGGCTCGATTTGGAGTGTTAGGGTGCTCGAAACTGACTTGTCCAAAAGAGTTTTCGGGATTGCCAGCCGTTGCTGGCTCTGTGCCAGCAGTTGGTACGGCAATAACCAATCTGTCATCACCTCTTGTTTATAGCTAACGCTAACGGTGATAGCTAACAATACTTTCCACGAGGACCTTATTACCGTGCTGTTTCGAATTACGGGTGTCCCTGTGGGTCTGCGGGTGCATAACCAGGAGGTCAAGTGATGGAAAGATTAGCTTAGCTGCCTAATCCCCACCTTTGCCTTTTAATTCGTTTTGAGACGCTGATTTACGAACTGCTCTCCGTAGTTGGTGGAAGATCTCCTTAGCGGAGTTATAAAAGCTTTCTGCCTGCCTTTTTTGCATGTTACCTCATGAGAGGTGCCTTTGACGGCACTCAAAAACTTCATATAAGCATCTCTTGGCAACGGCTGTTGTAGTAATGATGCCAAAAGTCTTTTTTAGCTTTGTGGCCAATAAGAATGTAGGGGGAACTTCGCCAATTAGCCGATCCAACGACTTTTTCCTGTGAGCTAAAGGATCCTGCACTTTTCCGCTCTATAACTTTGTCTTTTGGGGTTTTCAGAGACAATCGGATAGGAAAAGTGCAAAGCTATTCTGTTCTCCGCGCCTCCGGAGAAATGCAACAGTGTGGACCTCATTTCAACTGGCCGGAATTGACCTGTTCAGTCCCTTTTGCCCCATTTTTCATCAACTGACAATTCAATGCCATGCGCATCCCTAATAGATTCTTCATCAAATATTATCACCAAAAACACGATACAGGAAAGTCACCGTGATGCAAACCCTATAATAGCGTTTTGAAGGAGGCAAGAGCACACAATACCCTACAAATGAAAGCGCGAGCTATGTCCAAGCAAGAGGCGGCCCCAAGGTTTCACAGTTAAGAACCTCAATGATCCGTACTTACTACCTTGGTATCAAAAGTTGAGAGTCCCAGCCGAGAAACACATAACGGTACCTGACCAAAACCCATTTGCAAACTACCATAGGAAGTTGAATAGTCAACTAGTGGCTGCTCCGCTGTTTTGGCTCATTTACAATCAGAAGCTGTGTAGTGGCTGCCTGTCCCTGCCACATTGCGTTCCACTGGATCGCACCAAGAATCGACTGCTCTGAAGTCTATCGTTCTTGTTTTATTGACATATTCTGTTTTAGTGGTTATATCATGCAGCCGCTCTTAGTGGCAAAGCCAGCATGAGTTCGTAAAGTAGGAGTTCGAAAATCATCCGCTCACATCCTCTCATACGTCCGCCCTAACCACACCCTAAAAAAGCAGGACAAATTGTTACTCTCACGTTTTTTGGCAAGCTGCCCACTGTTTGAATTCAGTTCGTTGCGGGACCCACGCCATTTGCCACTACCGTAATTGGTTTTGGCGCATCGTTCCTATTAGGACTGTCCATTTGAATGGTTGACATTGGTTTTTGGAATGAATGCAATGTTGCATTCATTCACGGCCACGATTTTGCCGGACTCCATCAAGCACTACAGATGAGTTGGAGTAACTTCAAAATATTGGGCGGAGAATAGAATTGGATTGCTTTGCGAACCCAACAAGTATAGTGGCCCGCTCGAGATTCAGGGTTTCCAACCTCGGCGAACGTACAGCTTGATAGATCGCATACAAGTGTATGATAGTAAACACCTTAAAGAAACGACAAATGAATAGCATTAGGGTTCAAATTCTCCACTGGAGGCCACAAGTAGTGAGCTTGAAAAAAGTATACCGGCCCAAAATTCTACAAGATTTGCATAATCTAACCCATACAGGTTACCCAACCTCCAAATCACACATATTTCATGGACCCGTAGTTACTCCTCAATCGAATCGCCGCTGAATGGAGTAAAAACCTAGGGAATCCGCGATACAGGACTTCTTCTTGTCTGATTTCCGCGCTCGACAAGATTTTACGACAGATGACGTCATTGAAGTTGCTCTCTTTTCTATACTCTAACCGCAAAGGACAACCGCTCATCACCTAGAAAGCACAGGGGGGATCCGCTACCTGGAGGCAGAGCCATCCATGAAGATAAACGTATCATCGCCTGAGCTGCTCAGAACATACTCTGCTACATGTAGATCGCCTTTTCTTCCATGACCTCAACTCGCTGTCATCTCCACCAAACTCCTTTCGTAACTGGTTCGGTTCGCAAGAGCAAAGGATGCTGATTTTTATTGCCATATATTAGTATGACCATTCTAGAATACAATAGATCGGTTGCACCTGATCACATAGGCTTTCTTCATATTCAGCATTACAATAATAAGTGCTAATAATGAGAATATCCTAGTTTGTTAAAGCCAATGTATCATTTCAACTCTCGTAAACGTCAATGCTGTACTTTCCCTTCTTACAAGCTTTGCAGCTTCAAATGTACAGTCCTAATAGGAACGATGCGCCAAAACCAATTACGGTAGTGGCAAATGGCGTGGGTCCCGCAACGAACTGAATTCAAACAGTGGGCAGCTTGCCAAAAAACTCGTCCTGCATTTTTTCAGGGTGTAGGTTTAGGCGACAGTTCATCACTGGACCCGAGGTCCCCGCAGCGAAGTCATCAGTGAACATTCCCGCAACGAACAATGTTTCGCGCTGTGAAACGCGAAAAAGTCGCTTTCTGTCCCAGTGAACCACACCACAGGGATGACGTTCCACAAACATACCCTGTCACAGACCACAACTCGGCGCTCATCCAGTAAGGGGGGGCATCAAGTGGCTGCCCTCACCCCCACCCCCTAGACTGCCTACACTCCCCCTGGCGCACAGGTTTCTCGAAGTACGGGACCCCGTGAGCCAGGGGGAGTGAAGCCAGTTCTAGGGGGTGGGGGGTGAGGGCAGCCATTAGACGTTGCATCACAATGCCCCCCCCCCCTCCTTACCGGATGAGCGCCCACAACATTCCACATCGGCACTATTGCATTATTACAACCCCAGAGGCCGAGATGGGTCAAAAATAATTTTCGCTGAAACTTTTGCTATGGGGGTTATCGAGGGTCCTGATCACGAATATGATATCCTTTTTTGGCGCTGGCGCCATTATCACCAAATTCGCTGTAAACTTCTGAATAGGGGTTATTTGGGGCCCTGATCACGAATATGACACTCGTTTTTGACATTCGTGCTGTTTAACGCATATTTTCTGCTTTTCTAAGCTTTCTCACCTATGGCGCCTAGGACTAAGCTTAGGGGAGGGGAGTGAAACTCCGGAGTGGGTAAACCACGCACCGTGTGGCAAAAGTTGGAGTGTAGACCACAGGGGAGTGGCCTACTCACTTTGGAGCCCTCCACTATTCAAAGGCTTAGTCCTGATTGCGATCTAATTAGTGCGAGGGCGCAGACGAGCAGGAAGCAGGCGCCGAATAGCGCTAACAACAAAAACGAATGTCATTCGTAATCAGGACCCCAAATAACCCCTATACAGAAGTTTACAGCGAATTTAGTGGGAATCAGTCGTGGCGCCACCTGGCGCCAGCGCCAAAAATGAATATCATATTCGTGATCAGGACCCTCGATAACCCCGCCGAAGTTTCAGCGAAAATTATTTTTTGACCCATCTCACCCCTACTGGGGTTGTAATAGTGCAATAGTGCTCTCCACCACACTCTAAACCACCAAGAGGACTGGTTTTTGGTTTGAGAATAAATCAAGACGATTGACGAAGCAACACGACTGGGACTTTTGAAAATTTTGAAAATCATCAAACGTTAATAAATGCAATGAACAGGGATGGACTTGGGAGGTGCTAACTTAGTTGGGGGGGGGGCCACGCGGCGGCGCGGCAGTCTGCTCACCTGGGCTCTCTCGAGCGAGACAGTGTAAACTCGAACATTCCAGCTTTTCACGCATGTCAAGTGACTGCCCCACCCCCACCCCCTAGACTGCCTACACTCCCCCTGGCTCACGGATTTCCGAACTTGCCAGGCGAGCCAAGTGTGGTCCCCCCCAACCCACTTAGCGCCGACTTGGGGTCCACACAAACCAAAAGATTAAGGCCGTGACACAATACAATCCCACGTTGCTCGAAGAGAGGAAAGGGTGGTTTTTATTGCTTTCTGGGTTTCATCCAGTAAAGCAATGCAGATTTTTCGGGTGTAAGCTCAAAAAGGTTTGAAGCGAAGCGAACAGGTTCACGCAATGGGATTCTCTCTGCCATTTTGTAGGCGTACAGCAACTGTAGCACCCAGTCCCCCCTTACTGATGACGACCGGTCATGTTTCACGGGAAGAAGGTGCTACCATGTTGTGAAAACTTAGAAGTGAGAAGCAGCAAAAGCCCAGATGAGGACTCAACTGTGCTACAAAACACGAGACCACGGAAACTATAAAAAAAATACAACCATTGGGAATTGTTAAGGACTGCGAGTAAGCTAACCGGACAGGATTGTCCGGCTGCAGCGTGTATTCACACCACTTGCAGCGCAAGTGGTGTGAATACACGCTGCATCCAAAAATGGGAGAAGCGTTGCGGCGTCGGCCTCGCCGCTACCGCGGCGAGGCCGACGCCGCGCGCGCTTCGCGCGCAGGGCAAGGGAGGTAAACTCCAACATGCCGCCCAAGCACGCGCGCGGCGAGTTCAGCGGCCACCACGATCACTCTTTGCCGGTTAGGGCACGGTGAAGAGTGGAGCTCTGCTGAACTGGTGCTTGAGCCATCATCCACGTTATCCATAAACGGCGCCTAGTATAGTGCGCGGGGTTGCTCGACGCATTCTCTCCCCCATGAGAGAGCGCAGAGAAAACGAAAGTGGGAAGAGAGAGTGTGTGTCCGTGACTTTCATACGAGCTCGGATACGGTAGCGCGCGCGCGAAGTAAGTGGTGTGAATACACGCTGCACGCGGACAATCTGTCTGGTTAGCTTCCCTCCTTAGGAATCTGCGCCTAGCGAAAATGCGCGAAAATACGTATTTGATTTCGCGGTTACCGTTTCGATTCTCAGGACCTCGACCACAGCGCAAGGTTTTCGCGCCCTCACTGACTGGCCTAAAATTTCGGATAGCTGTCTCTTTTATTCGAAGATGTTCCCTACGACAGAGCAGTCAGTGGAGCGTCATTCGCAGTGCGGGAGGTCTGTTTCAAGTTTTGTGGCAAATGTTCGTCCGCTTATAAACGATTAAAAACGCTTTTGCGGTGCTGCTAGTTCATTTTCTTTTGTCGTGCAACATGAGTTTTACAGAATAATCGCTCCGGTTGCGGACTTCTTGGAGGTTTCCCCAACGTGTTGATGTATCACATGGAATGCCAGTTTGGGACTTCATGTGAAAGGTAAGGGTAAGCGTCGAGGTGAGAGTGTACTGCTTGGAACCGAGCTAATTCGTCCAACCACATCCGTGGGTGGACGTTTTTTGGCCGAGCAAGAGCATCGCGACCACACACTCTGCTCGCAACCTTTCCCATACATCGGAGCCACTTGCCGAAAGGCCCTTCCATGGTGGTTGTATCTGGTCTGACGTGTCCTATAAAATATGGTTGTGTGGCGCTTCATGCTAGAGAAGATGCCCGACCAAGTCCATATATTCCTAATCCTTCCGTAGTTCCGATGGAGCCCTGACGGTTGGGACAAACCATATGGAAAACATCGATTTTCATTTTGCAACTTTTTTCTACTACGCATTTCATCTATTTTGTTTCAGATATGTTCAAAAATCAAGCGTTCAGCCGACGTAACACAGCATCACTGGAAGTTCGCAACATTTGAGGTAAGTTGTGTATTTTTATTCATGGACACGAGGCTTAATTCGTCCTAACCATTCACGTGGGGTGGACGTTTTTTGCCGTAGCAGAGCATCGGAGCCACTTGCCGAAAGGCCCTTCCATGGTGGTTGTATCTGGTCTGACGTGTCCTATAAAATATGGTTGTGTGGCGCTTCATGCTAGAGAAGATGCCCGACCAAGTCCATATATTCCTAATCCTTCCGTAGTTCCGATGGAGCCCTGACGGTTGGGACAAACCATATGGAAAACATCGATTTTCATTTTGCAACTTTTTTCTACTACGCATTTCATCTATTTTGTTTCAGATATGTTCAAAAATCAAGCGTTCAGCCGACGTAACACAGCATCACTGGAAGTTCGCAACATTTGAGGTAAGTTGTGTATTTTTATTCATGGACACGAGGCTTAATTCGTCCTAACCATTCACGTGGGGTGGACGTTTTTTGCCGTAGCAGAGCATCGGAGCCACTTGCCGAAAGGCCCTTCCATGGTGGTTGTATCTGGTCTGACGTGTCCTATAAAATATGGTTGTGTGGCGCTTCATGCTAGAGAAGATGCCCGACCAAGTCCATATATTCCTAATCCTTCCGTAGTTCCGATGGAGCCCTGACGGCTGGGACAAACCATATGGAAAACATTTACTGTGTAAAGTAATGTGAAATATATGCTGCGTAAAATCAAACGTGTTCTAATGATTATGTTGCTTTACAGAAGTGCGTTGTCCGGATAGATGTTGTCCAACTCCAGCTGTTTATGGATGTGTCATCGATCTAAGGAAGAAACTTCAATTCTGCTATTTAACATTACTAGAACTTTCGTAGTAGTGGATAGCTATGTTGGATTTTTTGGATGATCTGGCATCCTACTTTGTTGAAAGTTTAAGGAATGAATAAAAGAGTCTTGAGCGATGTTATGAATTCCGGTTTTTTTTTCAGTAAGAATCAGATTTCATCTGCCTCTTGCGAGATGGTTTATAGCCTCATCCCCGCTGCTTTGCAGCTCCGCAAAAAATCGGGCATGAGGGTTGTTCAGTGCCTGATCACGAATACCGTATTCGTTTTTGATGTTGATGCCAGCTCACACGACTTGTTCGCCTCACATAGTTTCGCCAAATTCAGTAACGGGTTTTACGATGAAAAGGTAGCTAGTGAAATCTCGCGAAAAATGCTTATTAGTCGTAAACATTCACCGTGGTGTTTCTCCTGAGGGAAGGGGCGTGGCCTGTTGCTGTGGGCGGAGTTCTTCAACACGAAGGTTCTCAAGGCTTGTTTCTCCGTCTTCAGAGGGCAGAAACTCGACTGTATATGTGCGGATGGATCATGCAAACTCACAGAGCACGTTGCTTCCTTTAGCTTGGGATCGATTCACCCATTCTTCATAACTTTATCGATGAACCGATCTCCACTTCGCATCGCTGAAATTGATCACATCGTAAATCGCTGTTCATGTCGGACGCTTTGCTCTCAATTCTTTCCATCTGGTTCGTTTCCTGAAAGGTTAAGAAAGAAATGTCTGTCACCGCTAAAGTTCAAACTGGTTCCATTGTGTCAGGAGCTTGTGTGGATGAACAGTAGCTGATATCAGTGACGATTCTGGCTCCATCGAACGATGACATACTGGTCGAAAGCGCTATTCACCACATTGTGATCATAGAGGCAAATTCCGCCTGGATCAGCTATGCCTTCAATCATTTCGGAGTCACAACACTGCTTCAGAAGATTTATGGGAAGGAAAGACATGGATTTAAACATCTATCGGGTTCTTAGGAAGGTTTGCACACGCCGATGACGCATTCAAATGATTTTCAGAGGGATCTATTGTCGTATACGTGGCGTATCCCCACTAGGTTGACAAATATCGAATCCTATATACAACGATTACATTCAGAATTGCGAGGAAATGTTTGATAGTTCAACATTCCTCGATGAAAGGTCATGTTTTGAAGCAAGGTTACCAGATGTTCGTCCGTTGATCAGTTGATTTTGTGATGTGTTACACATTGGAACGGCCCCGGTCAGAGTCATGTGGACGGATGGATGGTGCATAGACTTGCCTCTGGGATTCACACTGCCCCTTACCACGCCTGCTGTGTTTCCGTCCTGGCCGCCGGTCAGCACTGGCCGACCCATTAACTCAATAGAATCGTTGTCTATTCGCTGTTACTGGCTAATATCTACTCATTTGTATTTCAAACTGATCTTTTAATCCATGCGCAACGCTTTTGTAATCCTGGGACGTTTCTCTCGGTCTTATTTTTCGTTGTATGCTAAACAAATTCCTTATCTGCACAGAGGTGTGGTTGAAGAAGAAGCAGTTCACGTTTGATAGCTCGCAGTAGTGATGTTTTTATTTTGAAGGTGGGGGAAGAGCGTTAGGTTCGCGTCTTCTGCTGGATGGGCCTACGGCTCTGGGCCAGTGTCACTGGAAACATCATCCGATCCTATAACTACGCCTGGTCCCCACCTCAAAATAAAAAACACCGGGCTGCCTGAGAAGGAGGCCCGTTCGTGATGTCCGATGTGGGACGTAATTCAACGTTCGGGCTTCCCTTGGCTTCAACCTATCTCGTCCCCTAGTCGTCAAACCTACTCACTCGGGTGTACACATTCTTTGACAGCTAGTACAACACTTTGAGTCGGATTCAGAGGGAGGGGCTCAATTGTTCTCAGCGGTTTCTTTCGCCTTCCTCTGTGCGTGTGGGGGGCCTAAACTCTGGGGGATGAGCTCCTGCTGCAGAGTCCTGGTCAGGTTACTGACGAAGTGGGTTGAAGAGCTCGTTAGTGCTTGACGATAAACTATACACCCCAAAAACCGCACACTAAACGGCGTCTTTGGTCGCTGCGTCATTTGCTCTCAAAAATTTCACAACTACAGTCCATGTTTTTGATTCCAGCAACTTTTAAATGAATTCCTATGTTCAAATTTTGGTGTTTTTGGTGTTTCCTCGTTCCTCAGTCAAAATTTCACTGGTCCAAACCAAACCGTAGAGATGATCCATCAATCTTCAGAAAATATCGTTTGTGATTTTTAAAAAGCTGTTCCTTTACTTTGCTCTCCACTTTTCCTGTCGAGTAGAGTTTATTATCTTTCAGTTAGTAGCCTTATCATTGTGTACACATTTCTTAGCGCATTGACAGTTGTATACGTGGTCGCGAGATTCAAATATCTCAATATTTTTTGTCTTAGGTTTGCAGAAGGGGATTTTTT